AATGCTTTAATGCATCATGGCAGGAAAAATATACAAGCATATTTACATACTTATGCAAGCATATGTATGTATATAGTATGCATGCTCGAAATATTTACATATATGTATGTATGCAGGAGTTTCACCAAGATACTCCAAGAGTGGGTACTTATTGTAGTTGTGAGAGTTGTTATTAAAAGAGTAGTAGTTACAGGCAATATAAACTATTGCTACCAAAGGTATTCATTGAGTTTATAAGAATTTGCAAACAAACACTTTTGCTATTATTTTCTTTTTTCACCCTTAAAGTGTAGTTTTAATAGTTTTACTAAATAAACAAACATGGCAACAGAAAAATAAATGTTTTTGTAGACAAGAGTACAAATATATGTCAATTGAAAAAAACTCCTTTAGTAATTGATTATGAAAGTAGTTAAAGAAAACTCTAGGATTCCTAGAAAATAAAAAAAAGTTTTTTTCCAAGCAGCGAAATTATTAAAAACTTAAACTAAAATATATAAACTGAATACTTAAACTTAATACTTAAATGTTGATGGTTATTTTCTATTAAAAATTGGCTATAAGAAAAACTTGGTAAACATTTTTATAAGCCTTTGACATAATATATTCTCTGAGTATCACTGGGGCGTATGATTGTTAGGTAACTAATACTACAAATAAATATTACGTATACGTACCTTAAAACTACTTTGTACACTTTTTCCTTGTTATACCCTACACCACTTTAGTGGGGAGGGTATATTGGGTTTGTGCTGATGTTTGTAACGCACAATAATATTGGTCCTACACCCACCTTAAAGTATACCAATCGGCTCAGAGTCGATTTAGCTATGTCCGTCCATCTGTCCGTCCGTCCGTCCGTCTGTCCGTCCGTCTGTCCGTCCGTCCATGTAAACCTTGTAATCAAACTACAGGTCGCAATTTTGAAGATAATTCAATGAAATTTGGTACATGATCTTCTATTGTCCCAGGGACGAGGCCTATTGAAAATGGTTAACATCGGTCCATTATTTCACCTAGCCCCCATACAACTGAACACCCGAATAGGGCTTTTAAAATTTGTAATCAAACTACAGGTCGCAATTATGAAGATAATTCAATGAAATTTTGTACATGATCTTTTATGGTACCGTAGATGAAGCCTGTTGAAAATGGTTTACATCGGTCCATTATTTCACCTAGCCCCCATACAACTGAACCCCTCGAATAGGGCTTTTAAAATTTGTAATCAAACTACAGGTCGCAATTTTGAAGATAATTCAATGAAATTTGGTACATGATCTTCTATTGTCCCAGGGACGAAGCCTGTTGAAAATGGTTAACATCGGTCCATTATTTCACCTAGCCCCCATACAACTGAACCCCTCGAATAGGGCTTTTAAAACTTGTAATCAAACTACAGGTCGCAATTTCGGAGATAATTCAATGAAATTTAGCACATGATCTTTTATGGTACCGTAGACGAAGCCTATTGAAAATGGTTAACATCGGTCCATTATTTCACCTAGCCCCCATAAAACTGAACCCCCGAATAGGGCTTTTAAAACTTGTAATCAAACTACAGGTCGCAATTTTGAAGATAATTCAATGAAATTTGGCACATGATCTTTTATGTTACCGTAGATGAAGCCTGTTGAAAATGGTTTACATCGGTCCATTAGTTCACCTAGCCCCCATACAACTGAACCCCTCGAATAGGGCTTTTAAAACTTGTAATCAAACTACAGGTCGCAATTTTGAAGATAATTCAATGAAATTTGGCACATGATCTTTTATGTTACCGTAGATGAAGCCTGTTGAAAATGGTTTACATCGGTTCATTATTTCACCTAGCCCCCATACAACTGAACCCCCGAATAGGACTTTTAAAACTTGTAATCAAACTACAGGTCGCAATTTTGAAGATAATTCAATGAAATTTGGTACATGATCTTTTATGGTACCGAAGGTGAAGCCTGTTGAAAATGGTTCACATCGGTCCATTATTTCACCTAGCCCCCTTACAACTGAACCCGCCGAATAGGGCTTTTAAGTTCATAATTATGTTTAATATACTCATATCTCGACAAAAAGCTGCAATAACCAAGTTGTATACAAGACTTGATGACCCCCACGAATTCCATAATAATAGGTTCTCATATGACCCTAGCCCCTATGAAAAGCCCTCATGAAAATTTCACTTAAATGTCCACAATTTTATTCAACAATAAACGGCTTAAGTATGTATATCTAAGGCAAGGTACAATTCAACTTAAATGCTTTATTATGACAACTAAATCACATTATTTTTTTGTCAGAGGTGTAGGGTATTATATGGTCGGCCTCGCCCGACTATAATTTCTTACTTGTTATATGAAATAATTTATTATTTTGTCAAATAATCTTTTCACAAATACTTAATAAATTTATTATACCCTACACCAATTCAGTGGGGAGGGTATATTGGATTTGTGCTGATGTTTGTAACGCACAATAATATTGGTCCTATACCCACCTTAAAGTATACCAATCGGCTCAGAATCATTTTCTGAGTCGATTTAGCTGTGTCCGTCCGTCTGTCCGTCCGTCCATGTAAACCTTGTAATCAAACTACAGGTCGCAATTTTGAGGATAATTCAATGAAATTTGGTACATGATCTTCTATTGTCCCAGGGACGAAGCCTATTGAAAATGGTTAAGATCGGTCCATTATTTCACCTAGCCCCCATACAACTGAACCCCCGAATAGGGCTTTTAAAATTAGTAATCAAACTACAGGTCGCAATTTTGGAGATAATTCAATGAAATTTGGCACATGATCTTTTATGGTACCGTAGACGAAGCCTATTGAAAATGGTTACCATCGGTCCATTATTTCACCTAGCCCCCATACAACTGAACCCCCGAATAGGGCTTTTAAAACTTGTAATCAAACTACAGGTCGCAATTTTGGAGATAATTCCATGAAATTTGGCACATGATCTTTTATGGTACCGTAAAAGAAGCCTGTTGACAATGGTTTACATCGGTCCATTATTTCACCTAGCCCCCATACAACTGAACCCCTCAAATAGGGCTTTTAAAACGTGTAATCAAACTACAGGTCGCAATTTTGAAGATAATTCAATGAAATTTGGCACATGATATTTTATGGTACCGTAGATGAAGCCTGTTGAAAATGGTTTACATCGGTCTATTATTTCACCTAGCCCCCATACAACTGAACCCCCGAATAGGGCTTTTAAGTTCATAATTATGTTTAATATACTCATATCTCGACAAAAAGCTGCAAAAACCCATTTGTATACAAAACTTGATGACCCCAACGAATTCCATAATAATAGGTTCTCATATAACCCTAGCCCCTATGAAAAGCCCCCATCAATATTTCACTTAAACGTCCACAATTTTATTCAACAATAAACGTCTTAAGTATGTATATCTAAGGTAAGGTACAATTCAACTTAAATGCTTTATTATGGCAACTAAATCACATTATATTTTTGTCAAAGGTGTAGGGTATTATATGGTCGGCCTCGCCCGACTATAATTTCTTATTTGTTTTTCTCTTATTTTCATTTCAGGTATGTGTAATCAATAACTATATAGAAAACACAAATGGGTATGTGATAAATCTAACTAATAAGATAAATATTAAATGATACAATTTCGAAATAAATTGAAATCAAACATTTTATTGGGTCATTTACGTAGGCGAAACAAATATAAACAAAACAAAAAAATTTGAAATAATTGAAAACAAAAACGTTTTGTTATTAAGGCACAAATATTTGAGACAATCAATTAATATAATAAGGGCAATTTTTAGAGATATTGAGTTTGTTGTAACTGTTATAAATATTAAGGCAACAATTTTTGAGATCATTATTTATTTTCTTCTTCTGGAAACAATTTTTAATTATTTACCTTAATTTTCAATTCGGCTTAAAATATTTGAATAGGCTTAAACTATTCTCAAGCAATAAATGTTGAAATTCTATACAAATTGCAGAAACTTTCATTCAATAATTTAACATTTCATTTAACATTCCGGGAATTATTTCGTTTAAAGATTTAATACTCGGAATTAAAGTAATTTAATTAAAAATAAATAATTAGTGGATTCTTTCAATACTTTGAGCAATGCGATATCTAACATAACATATTCGTACTATTATGTCAAATTTTAACAGAATCGAAAAATATTCTCTGTTGCGTAATTTGTCGTATTCAGTCGTATTTGTCTTCATTAAGATAATTGCAATGGCTTCACCGTTAAAGCTTAAACGAATATTCATAATGTAAGAAACTTTTTGTTATATATATGAGGAAAACTGTTGGGTACCCTTATGAACTATTTTTGGGTGTGGATACTATGTATAATTAATATACTTTGTAAATTATATACTTTAGATATAATTTTATTTTAAGTTTTCTTTGAGTTTTAAATTTATTAATATTTTTCTTGAGAATCAAATAAATTTTAGAATTATATTTTACTTTCAAAAAAAGAAACATTAAATTTAAATAAAACTTTATATAATATTTATAATACATTTATTAAAAAGAATATTAACTACATATTGGCGATCCTGCCAGGAGCCATTATATGCTAAACGAAAAATTTTTACCAATTCCAATATTCAAGATCTAATATTCAAGATTCAATATTTCAAACTAATAATATGCAAGATTATTAATTATCAAGAACAAAAATACATTCAAGCCACAGAAAACTATTATTTGGCAAGTTAAACAACATTGACTAATATTTCATGAATTTTTAATTGCGTACAAACTATCAATAAACTATTCAAGAAAATTAATTTACAAAAAAACCTGTACTGTTGATAATTATCTATTAAAGGAGGATAAGAGAAGAATTTATCTAAAAATAAACTCAACTGATTGGTATATATAAAAATAAAAACGTTTATTTGTTCATTTTGTTAAATATTTTGTTGTTTGTTTGTTATTTGTTTTGTTTATATAACTATTATTGTTAACTCTTCTTCCGAAAAATGTTACCAATTCGGTCACCATCCCGCAATACTTCCCAAACTCAAAATAGTAGTAGTATACAACAAGTTTCAAACGATGACGCTAACTCTAACACTACACAACAAAACCAGACTCCTCAAACTGAGAACCCTTTATTAACAGGTTGTTTTACACAATCAAATTACGATCTTTGCGCTACGTCAGTCAAACTTCCTCAGTTTTGGACAAATTGTCCCGATGCTTGGTTTATTCATGCAGAAATGCAATTTACGACCAAAGGCATATCTTTAGACAGAACAAAATATGAATACATTATTACAGCACTTCCACAAGAAGTAATAATAACTGTTCTAGATATAATTCAAAATCCACCACCTAATAATCTTTATCATAATCTAAAAAAGGTATTAGTAGAACGACATTCACTAAGTGAAACTTCCCGGTTAGAGAAAATTTTGTCAGATAGTGAAATGGGTAACAGAAAACCATCCGAGTTTTATCGCTCATTGTCTTTATTAGCTGGAACTAGTTTTAGTCCAGATATTTTGAAGAAATTATGGTTGAGGAAACTCCCAAAGAGTCTTAATGTAGCTTTAACGGGATCTAACCATAACGACATTAATGAAATGATACAATTAGCAGATAAGATATGGGAAGTTATGTTTAATGGCGAAGTTGCCAATATTAAAGAACATAACCCAACAAACATTGAATATGTTGTCGAAAATTTGACGAAAACCTTGTGCGAAAATATGACAAAATTATGCGTTGAAATTAACTCCCTTAAACAGGAGTTCAATGATAGGCAACCACGTTCATCTTATCGAAATAGGTATAGGAGAAATTCTCGTTCAAGAGTACGATCTAGTAGTAGAGATTGGTTATGCAGATATCACTACCGCTTTGGAGATAAAGCTATTCGTTGTGAACAACCCTGTTCTTATAAACAAAATTCTTCAAACTAATATCTCCCATAGTTGAGGCGACAAACAATGGTGATTTAAACTTTACGTCCCGTCGCCTTTTTATACCCACCATCAAAAAAGATGGGGGGTATATTGTTTTTGTCATTCCGTTTGTAACACATTGAAATATTCGTCTAAGACCCATAAAAGTATATATATTCTGGGTCCTTATTAAATTCTAAGACGATCTAGCCATGTCCGTCCGTCTGTCCGTCTGTCCGTCTGTCCGTCTGTCTGTCTGTCTGTCTGTCTGTCTGTTGAAAACACGATAGAGTCCAAATGGAAGCAGCTAGCGAGCTGAAATTTTGCACAGATACTTCTAGTCGATGCAGTTTGTTTGGTATTGAAAATGGGCAATATCGGTCCACAATTTCGCCTAGCCCCCATATAAGGCCCTCTTCAGAAAATGACTTTATCGCTCATAACTTGCTAAGGGAAGAACCAATAGCGGTGAAATTCGGCACAAACATGTTTTATGGGAACCTAAATCTCTTCGTAGAATTTTATAAGGATCGGTCCATAATTGACCCTACCCCCCATATAAAGTCCCCTTCAGAAAATGACTTTATCGCCCATAACTGCCTAAGAAAAGCATCAATAGCGGTGAAATTCGGCACAAACATGTTTTATGGGAACCTAAACCTCTCTGTCAAATTTTATAAGGATCGGTCCATAATTGACCCTACCCCCCATATAAAGTCCCCTTCAGAAAATGACTTTATCGCTCATAACTTGCTAAGTGAAGAACCAATAGCGGTGAAATTCGGCACAAACATGTTTTATGGGAACCTAAATCTCTTTTTAAAATTTTATAAGGATAGGCTCATAATTGACCCTACCCCCCATATAAAGTCCCCTTCAAAAATGACTTTATCGCTCATAACTTGCTAAGGGAAGAACTAATAGCGGTGAAATTCGGCACAAACATGTTTTATGGGAACCTAAATCTCTTTTTAAAATTTTATAAGGATAGGCTCATAATTGACCCTACCCCCCATATAAAGTCCCCTTCAAAAATGACTTTATCGCTCATAACTTGCTAAGGGAAGAACTAATAGCGGTGAAATTCGGCACAAACATGTTTTATGGGAACCTAAATCTCTTTTTAAAATTTTATAAGGATAGGCTCATAATTGACCCTACCCCCCATATAAAGTCCCCTTCAGAAAATGACTTTATCGCCCATAACTGGCTACGAGAAGCATCAATAGCGGTGAAATTCGGCACAAACATCTTTTATGGGAACATAAATCTCTTCATATAATTTTATAAGGATCGGTCCATAATTGACCCTACCCCCTATATAAAGTCCCCTTCAGAAAATGACTTTATCGCCCATGACTGGCTAAGAAAAGCATCAATAGCGATGAAATTCGGCACAAACATGTTTTATAAGAATTTAAATCTCTTCGTAAAATTTTATAAGGATCGGTTCATAATTGACCCCACCCCCAATACAAGGTCCCCTTCAGAAAATTACTTTAATGCTCATATCTGACCTTAACAAACATATGTGCATATATATAGCAATAAAATTCGACATAAAAAAATTTTATAGGAACTAAAATCATTTTCTTAAATTTTATGAAGGTGGGTCCATAATTGACCCTACCCCCCATATAAGGTCTCCTTCAGAAAATGACCTTAAGGCACAAACTAGTTTTGTGTGAGCCAAAAGTTCTTTATCAAATTTTATAAGGATCGGTCCTTAATTAGCCCTATCCCCCTTGTAAGGTCCCCTTCAGAAAATGACTTTAAAGCTCATTACTAGCTTAAAACTGCGAGTACTGAGTACGGCATGAACAATTTTCGTATTAGCTACAATCTCTCACTAAATTTTATGAGGATCAGTCTGTAATTGACCATACTCCCCTATAAGGTCCCCTTCAGAAAATTACTTTAACGCTCATTACTGACTCAAAAATGCTATGACAGCAGTGAAATTCTACGTAAACAAGTTTTGTACTAGCCAAAAACTATTTATCACATTTTATGGGGATCGGTCTATAACTGACCCCACCCTCCATATAAGGTCCCCCTCAGATAGTGACTTTAACACTCGTTACTGGCTGTAACGCTCAAATGCGACTACAGCGATGAAATTTCACATAAACAAGTTTTGTATGAGTTTATGGTTATAAATATTGGATCAAACAAAATTAATATTTTTAATTCGGAAGAGCACGGTCCATGCTTAAGCCTTTATTAAATTCCCTCTTCCAAATATTTCCCTGATGTTCATAATTATATCGACATATGATTCAACATAGATCGATAATATCAAAGTTTATTTATAAGGATGATTTGATGGTGGGTATATAAGATTCGGCATGGCCGAATATAACACTCTTACTTGTTATTTTTGACAAGATAAATAAATTAAATTTCCTAATAGATAGTGGAGCAGAAGTTTCAGTTTTACCTTCAAATAAATTCAAAAACAGTAACAATTTATCCGATATAGTTTTAACAGCGGCAAACGGATCTAATATTTCTACATATGGAAAAAAACTTCTTACTGTTGATTTAGGCTTACGACGAGAATTTCCATTTATTTTTCTCATTGCTAACATTTCGAAACCAATAATTGGTGCAGATTTCCTTAGTAAATATGGTCTTTTAATTGATGTAAAGCACAAGAGGTTATTAGATTCTCTTACGAATTTAAAAGTTAATGCAATATCTTCCAAATGTAATATATCATTGCCTAAATTATTTGCCGTTGATAATAAATACATTCAATTATTAAAAGAGTTTCCTTCATTAACTGCGGAACCAGATTATACTAAACTGGTAAAACATTCAACGGTTCATAGATTGAATACTGAAGGTGTCCTTCCATTTACTAAGCCTCGAAGGTTAGATCCCTTAAAATATAAAGTCGCTAAGACAGAATTTGAATTTTTAGTCAAAGCAGGAATTTGTAGACCATCAAGCTCTTCTGTTTCTTCAGCACTTCATCTTGTCCCAAAGAAAGATCCCAATGACTGGCGACCTTGTGGCGATTTTAGAAGACTTAATGCTGTGACAGTACCGGACCGCTATCCGTTACTACACATTCACGACTTAAATATGAATATGCGAAATAAAAAAAATTTTTTCAAAATTAGATTTAATCAGGGCTTATCATCAAATTCCAATGGCAAAGGAAGACATTTACAAAACTGCAATAACCACACCATTTGGAATGTTCGAATTCTTACGAATGCCATTCGGTTTAAGAAATTCAGCGCAAACATTCCAACGCTTTATAAATGAAGTATTTAGTGAATTAGATTTTGTTTTCACTTATATCGATGACGTTCTAATTGCTAGCGAAACCGAAGAGGAGCATTACGAACATTTGAGAACGGTATTTCAACGGTTAGAGGAATACGGTTTAAATATAAAACCGGGTAAATGCACTTTCGGAGTAGATAATATAAATTTTTTGAGTCACAATATATCTGAGAAGGGTATTCAACCATCAGAAGAAAAAGTTACAGCTATAAGACAGTTTGAATGGTCAAAAGGATGTATAGATTGCCAGCGATCAAAAATTCACAAACATACGAAATCTCCTGTTGTCACAATACCGATACCAAAAGGACGTTTTGAACATATACATTTAGATATTGTAGGTCCACTGCCTCCATCTAACGGTTATAGATATTTACTTACTTTAATAGATCGCCATACGCGCTGGCCTGAAGCTTACCCGTTAAAAGATATAAATACAAAAACCGTAGTGGATACTATAGTGAGAAACTACGTTTCTAGATTCGTCGTACCATTGAAAATAACTACAGATCAAGGAAGTCAATTTACATCACATATGTTTTCGGAATTGTCAAAATTTTTAGGTAGTCAGAACATTACAACTTCTGCATATCATCCTCAAGCTAATGGTATTATCGAACGGTTTCATAGACAAATTAAGGCTACATTAATGGCGAAAAATGATTCTTCAAAATGGTATGATGAACTTCCAATAGCTTTAATGAGATTACGTTCTATTTTTAAGGAAGATTTAAAAGCAACTCCAGCTGAAATGACATACGGACAAAATATTCGTCTACCGGGAGAAATTGTTGTTCATGAAAACCAATTCGATGCTTCTGATACCTTGTTTAAGTTAAAAGAACATTTTAAAAGTGTTAGATCAAATATTACTCATCACACAGATTCAGAATCAGGTTTTTATATTCCTAAACATTTGCACAGTTGTAAATACGTTTTTCTGCGTATAATAAACAAAAGATCGTTGCAAAAACCATATGAGGGTCCATACAAAGTAATAGAAAAGAATAAGAAATGTTTTAAAATTGAAAAAGATGGAGAAATCATATCTGTACCTATAGATCGTCTGAAACCTGCTATCATAGAAAACAACTTAAATGACACTACTAACTCAACACATAAATCTAAACATGTTACTTTTAATTTATTGGATATTGATATTTTTCGGAGGGGGAATATTGTGGATACTATGTATAATTAATATACTTTGTAAATTATATACTTTAGATATAATTTTATTTTAAGTTTTCTTTGAGTTTTAAATTTATTAATATTTTTCTTGAGAATCAAATAAATTTTAAAATTATATTTTACTTTCAAAAAAAGAAACATTAAATTTAAATAAAACTTTATATAATATTTATAATACATTTATTAAAAAGAATATTAACTACATTGGGTACCCTTAGGAACTATTTTTAGATTTTTGTTTTTCCAATAACATTTTGTTTATTGGTTAATTTTGCAGATTAAAAGACCTGTCATACATATCACTCATATGAGTAATAAACTGCGCATTTTCTACATACATATATGCACATTAGGAAAAACAAATTGAAAGGAGTCAAACAATGTTGTGCTGTTCTTTTCAAGATACCTATTCGGAAATTTTTTGAATAAAATTTAATAATACAATAAATATCTAACGTTATTAATTGTAAGCTGGTTCTTCGAAATTCGCAAAATTGTTTGCTTTCTATGATATCTGGATTTATTATGGC